TATTCGTATAATACCAAAAAGTGGCGACAAGCCACCGGATGATCCTAAATCCTACCGACCAATCACATTGTTACCATCGTTAGGAAAGCTTTTAGAACGTCTTGTAGTGCCCCGGCTTCTGCCAGGTGGAGTCAAATTTCATGATAGACAATTTGGATTTACGTTGGGTAAATCGACAACTGACGCTGTTATATCGGTTAGAAAGTTTGTCACAGAGTCAAAATTTCAATACGTGCTGGCTATTTTCTTAGATATATCTGGCGCCTTCGATAACGCATGGTGGCCCATGCTGTTGCTGAAATTAAAATCACGGGGGTGCTTTAAAAATATTTATTCCCTTATATCTTCGTACTTTTCACAAGGTACTACTAAACTAAGACTTGGTCATCATTCTGTGTCGAAGGCGCTTACAATGGGATGTCCTCAGGGATCGGTGCTGGGTCCATACTTGTAGAATATCGGCTTCGACGATTTTCTTGCGATACCAATACCATCCGGATGTACTCTGAACGCGTATGCTGATGACGGCTTATTACTGGTGGAATCTGATACTAGGGCGGGGCTTGAGAGACTAGCCAATAGATGTTTGAACTTGATATCTCAATGGGGTGAACGTAATCGCTTAAATTTTGCACCCAACAAAACCTTCCAGCTACTTTTAAAAGGTAACCTCAAATCACCGCCAAGCATTAGATTTGACAATGTTACTGTGAAAAATAAGGCCTCAGTGTGTTACCTAGGATTAGTTTTAGAAAGAAACTTTTCATTTATCGAACATATTAAAATAGTTAATGAAAAGTCTAAAAAGAGTTTCTGTGCATTGACAAGGATATCAACTGCGACATGGGGTCTATCATTTAATACATTAAAGATTATATACGGAGCTACTTATTTACGTTCTATGTGCTATGGTGCACCTGTATGGGCCGATAGGGCGACCGTAGGCGCTGTCCGTCGCAAACTGTTACAAGGCCAACGACTTGCACTGATATTCTTGTGCAAGGCATATAGGACGGTTAGCACCGAGGCTTTGCCGGTGTTGGCGGGTGTGCTTCCGGTCGATCTCGAAGTGCAGAGACGTGCAGCCATGTACTATTCAAGACAACAAAACATGGAATGCGATTTTTTGGGCGCGCGGGATCGCGGTAAAATTACAAGATTGCTTCAACAGCAGTCCGATGTCTATAATGACCTCATAGACGAATGGCAACAACGCTGGGATGAATCATCCAAGGGGCGCCATCTTTACCAATTCTTTCCATCTGTTCGCGAACGGTTGTCGAGGACATGGCTTGAGGTGGATCACTGTGTCGCTCAATTTCTTACGGGTCATGGTAACTTTAAGAGCAAGCTTTATTCATTTAAATTAGTCGAGTCACCATTGTGTCAATGCTCAACACCTAACTCTCACTATGAACAGTCTGCTCATCATATCCTCTGGGAATGTAGTCTTTGGTATAATGAACGTAATATAATGCTGAATACCTGGGTGCAGGTGACATCTGGGGCGGTATACTATGGGGATCTTGTGTCAACTAGGGTGAATTTCCGTGCGTTTAGGCGATTCTGCCATACATATTATAGAAATCAAATATAGCTCACGTAGGACCCGTAATATTTCGTGGCCGTGGTGCTTCCCTGTTTAAAAGGGTGTATGCCCATTTTATTTCATTTTGTCTCCCGCTTTGCTAAGGAGGGAAGTGGATTTACTGTATTTCCAACTCCTCCAATTTTCTTCTGATTAATTTCGTTGCGGGTTCCAAGACAGTTTAATTTCTTCCTGGGACTTCCCGAGTGTCATAACTCGGTGTGTTCGTGGGTCACTGCTGTGGATCCTGGTGTACAGGAGTTACAGTGGTGGGCATGTGGGCGGGATTAGTCCCATTAAAAAAAAAAAAGTTGCAAAAAAATTACACAATATATTTCCGTTTTTTACTGGCTTTGGCTGCAATTCTATGTATTATACAGTTCATAGGTTAATGTAAAGTTTAGCAAATGATAACGAATGATTTTTACAACATAGGTAAAACAATCTAGTTGAAACAGTAATTATTATATACATATAATATTTTGATTCTATTCAATATGTTTTTATTGAACCTGGTAATGAGTGAGATACACATAAGTGTATCGAAAGTATTCTATTCTAACCTATGATTAAGAGACCTGAAAATTGTGAAACTGACTTCTAATGGCTCAGGCCAAATTATTTGTAGACATTCAGTTCTAGATTACATAACATTTGGCGGGTCAGATAATCAGGTTCAGTAGACTATTTTCTTACTAGTTAGTTTTTAGAAGTATCACTGTAGACACATTTGTTGCTCAGCTAGAGAGATGGTACTTACGTAACCTATTCCTTTCATTAAACTAATATCGCAAAAAGGACGCAAAAAAAACTCCGAAATCCTGTCAATCTAATGTCCCACCTTCACTTAAAACGGTCCTCGGCTTTAACTATCCAATACCAAGACTAAGTAGACTTTATAATAAGTTCGACAAACAAATTGACATGCTTATTACCGGTCGTTATAGATTTAAGAGCCAAATTCACAACATCATTAATTAGTTTTAGGAACTAAATTATTTAGTAACTAAACTAAATTAAACGCAGTCAATTACTTTCTAAATTTTTTAAAATGTAGTCCATATAACTATATGTTAGCTTTGTCGTTATTTTAAAATCCTTTTCATTATTATTAGTTTTTCTCTCTAAACTATCAATTCTCACTTACAAATTGTAAAATTAATACTAGTATATGTTAGTTTAACATACGAAGTAAAGGGGTATTGGTAGACCCATACTGCGGTTTAAAGATTGTGCGCCACGAGGGAGATGATCTCATTTGGGAATGATAATGTCTCTTGGGAGGAGGTCGCTAGAGATCGCTATAAATGGAGGAAGCGTGTGATCAATGGCCTCTCGCAATCCGCGATAACACCTGGTTCCAGAAATTGGTAGACAAGAGAGTGAAGCGTCACAGAGCTAACAATGACCCACAAACCGACAGTTTTATGTGCAGAGTGTGCGGTAGCATCTGTCGCTCTAAAATTGGCTTACGAGTACAAAGTACAAAGTATAGCATCTGAACAAAATGTATAGCTACAGGACAGTAACTCAATCGTCAGGACCAGACGCAAGAGACCAATAATGATAATTCATGTTATCTAAACTGTGTCAATACTAAAAGCCGAATGTTTTCTATAGATGTGTTTGCTGATTGATATTGTACACCCATACTTTATTTATCATGCATGTATTCTTTTTAAGAAATGTGTTACAATTATAGGCAAACCTATGAACAAATAAATAAAGCTAGTAAGCTAGCTAGCTAGCTAGTAAGCTGTGATAGTTTTCCTTTTGCACTTGTGTCCCTTGAGTTGATGTAGTTAATTACTATCAAGTGCCTCGATTGAGTAGATACCTTTTAGTATCCAACGCCCTCATAGCACAGAAGCCAGCTTATTGTGTGTTGAGCCACGCCCAACGTGGGGTACCGTAGTTGTTTTCTATTACAAACATTTCACATTAAGGGTTTCAGCGGCCTATAAAGTCGAATTACTTGGCTGAAAATTACACATATACTTATAAGCCTACTGACCTATGATAGTTTTACTTTTAAATTTGTTATATATGCTACTTTTCAGATCTCTAAATACTTTTGGCTAGGAGGAGGGAGACACTTGACTGTAACAAAACCAGCTCTTTGAGGCTTAAACCTCACAAAAGGGATACCTTAATCAAAATATTGTTTTTACAAACCAACAACAGCAACACAAACTACAACTTTAAAGGTCTCGACATACCCTAAAAAATATTTTTCTTGATTTAATTTTACATATTACAGATTTCTAGCACTAAAAGTCTGTGAGATATAGTGTGGACAGACGGCCGGACATGACGAAACTATAAGGATTCCGTTTTTGCCATTTTGGCTACGGAATATAATAAGTATGAAACGTATGAAAATAATAGCATCGTAAGGAACTCCCCTGTATCGAAACGATTACCATTTATCAGATCTACTTGACACAAAAAAATATTAATGTTTCATTGCAATAGGTACGACAATAATGGTACGACTGTGCATTTGTTTTTTTTATTTTTTTGATCACTTACTTTTAAACTCAGTGACACTCAGTCACAGGGCAAGAGGGTAGTTATTCATTACCATAACCATAGTTAATTGTCAAGAACCATAAATGATGAATATTTTTTAAGCGTCACACCTGCATCTAAAGCGACACAAGTGCGTTGCCTTGCCACCCTATGTGCCAAGATTAGGGGGGAGGGAAGAGGTTAATCTCCAGTCTCTCACTCAGTGAAAAGTAATGAAAAATTTGCTTAACGTTGGGTTTCGGTAAGGACGTGGTACCTCTTCGGTCGGGCGCCGCATATATGCATGGCTCTCCCACAGTATACTCTACGAAAATAAAGTTACATGCTGTAACATATGAGTCCGCTTATTACAAAATTGTTATTAAAGTTGTCATAGTAGAGAAGTATCGTGCTTCTTCAGCTTATAAAAGATTTTCAGAATTTTCACTGCAAAGGTTCAGGTTTACTGTATTTACTGAGCAACATTTGTTGTGCGACTTGCGAGTGGTTCCCTATGTCACATATTCCTTTCATACCTAACAACGACCCCTTCCAATTATAGTGGATATCAGCGACAAAACACAATAAGATTGATTACTTTCCTTCTCTTGCATTTGTATTAAAGTTTAAATCAATTAGTTGATCTAATAAAACAAAGGGATTTCTAACAAATATAATTTATTTCACAGAAGCAAGAGAAAAGTCATATAATTAGTACGAAGATAATTTAAATATTATTTAGGCCCAGCATCATAATATCAAAACATTACTTAATCATATGATGAGAACAAATATCAAATATAGATACACTGTTTATATTACGAAAAAACCTTGATGCAAAGTGCCTTTAGTAATCTTTATTTTATAAAAGTTACAAAAAATGTTTGAAATCATTCATTGATTAAATGAATGATTTAATGAAGATGGAGGATGAAGCTGTTGCAAGAAACGTTAATTTATCTGAAACAGCGACAAACTCTAACAGAGATACATACTCCACGTCTGAAACCACGTCTTCGACATTGTGCGTTGCACGCTGAGCTGGTGCAACTCCTCGAAAGAAATGGAATATTAACAGTTGCAATTCTTACATTATTGCTTTCTGAAAAAAAAAAATAGTATCAAGTACTCGTAAATAGAAAACAAAAATGAAGTATCTCTGCGTACATTATTTTACACAAAACCCCTCAATGCCATCCTGACTCGATAGAAATTTAAGCTCTGTTTTAGATTGCAGTTGACCTTTGATACGTGAATTTTCAATTTTTACTCTACTAAAATCAAACCGAAACACCTTCATTGGAGAATACATATGACGATAGGAACATGAAAAGTTAACACTTACCAAGATTTTGTTGTTCTCCGTACGTTTCCATCAGGTCATTGAAGGGTAGCTTGTCAGCGGTGACGTCGGCGAGCTGAACGACAAGAACGATGGCGAACGCTACTGCCAAGAATTTCATATCGATAGACTATATACTTCACAGTACTAGATCAAGCTATGTAGTGAAAGAGACCACGTATGAATGCCACGTATTGCAGATACAGGGGCGTTTATTGTTTCAAAGTGTATAAAAGTGTATAAAAGTGAATCATGTAACAAAATAACAATTCCTTACTTAAGCTTTGGTCGTCAGGCACATAAATATGTTCCTTCCCTTCCAAATTGGTTAGGTGACCGGGACGGCACCGTCGCAGTCGTCTACGGCGGCTCATTCCCCGCCCTGTCGCTAAGAGACAAGGGCACTGGATATGTTTGCCGCCGAGTGGGGGGGATCACCATATATGGTGTTTATTTCTCCCCCAACCGGAGTTTGAGTGACTTCAAGATTTGCGTATTTATTGCTTTTATGATTTTCTTCTGTGTCATTTTCATAATATAATAAATTTTAATAATATTTTTATATTATTGCAATAATCACAACTATTAAATAATATCACAAGGCTATTTATTTTCAATCTAAGCACAGCTTGTAATGTGAAAGCTAGATTGACTAATAAGTCTTAAACTAATAAGTCTTCACTTATATACTTTTTTCTTTGTGAATTCATACATATTATACATAGACAACACCCAAACTCCGAAACAAATATATGCAGATAATACAATAATTTGGTCCGTTTGAATTAAGGTATTACCTTAGTTGGAATACTTTAAATTCCCACTAACGTAATACTTAAAATCAAACTATATGTTGATTACCTACTAGGTTAAGGATTATTACCTATAAAATAAGGAGTGTAGGAATAAAAATATCTACCGTCAATGTGTGATTATGTGAGGCTTTCAGGTTGCGGATTTTTATCACAAACTTACTTAAGTACAAGCTTTACTTGCGCACCGAAACATACTTGTACAAAAATGAAGTCGTACGTCCGATTTTTAACCGACTTCCAAAAGAAGGAGGTTATCAATTCGGATGTTTATATATTTTTTAAGTATGTATAACTCTGTCATGTGTAGACGGATTTGCAAAATTATTTTTTTATCCGAAAGGAGTTTATTCCAGAATGGTCCCATTTAAATCTCATATAGACCTTTTTTTTTGTCTTTTTTGTTGACGGGTGGAAAATCCCTTCGGATCTTCGGCTCCTCGGGGACGCAGGAGCCAGAGTATGTGGTGTTTCCACTAAAAACCACCCCGACAGCCGGTCTCAGGCGCCCTGCTCTGGAGAGGACCCGGACCATGTTATTTCGGCCCCCCCCCGGATCGACTCCTATCGGTCTAATCAATGTGTGTGGTGGCCCGATCGCAAAATGCGATCGGGCTACCATCCTATCGCCTGCCGCAGCAATTAATCTGCCACCAGTAGTCCCCACTCTCTGGAAGCCTGCGGCCCCGTCGACGACTGATACTGCCGCCGTCGTCCTCTACGCTCTTGATCGGCCCTCTCCCGATCCCGTTCAGCGGTCTCTTTCTGGAGCATTACAGCTTCACAGAACGAGACCACTGCGCCCCAGCCCTCCTTACCTGCCAGCATGGCAGCAATGATTGCTGGCGGAAATCTCATATAGATCTAATAATGAGTTTAGAAAACAGACAATGAAACTTTTCAAAAAATGACAGCAAATCAACCGCGATTGCTGCTCTTTTTAGGTATTTTTTGACGTCGGTTCAACTGTAAGAAAAAAGATTTATATCTATTTCTTTTTGTGTAAGCGAGCAAACAAGCAGAATGGTCGCCGTATGGTAAGTGACTGGTCATGGACACCTGCAACTCTACAGTCACAAATGCGATTCCGCCCTTGAGACGCCCCCCTTCCCCTATAACAAAAGGGGGGGAGCTGAAGCATTTCTCTTCCACGGCCATTTCTTATATCGATTCTCGAAAAAGTAACGTAACTTTTCCGTTCTAAGAAAACATAGATATTCGTCTTTATTACAAACGTTTTTAAGCTGAAAATATTAGAATAAAAAAAAGACGTGTGGCACTCGGGAACTGCCGCGGTAAAGCTATTGCATAGCATTTTGTATCAACTTATGCAATTATAATTATTTATTTATTTTATTTATGCAGTATTTCTTTTTCTTTGATATTAATTCAAGTTACACTTTTTGAGCGTGGTGACCGATAAGAAAACAATTTTTTTTCTTTTATTAAATAAAAATATTGAAGGATATATTACAATTTGTTTTTAAATAAATAAATAAAAAATATTATTATTAAATCAAATTACATATCCATGTAAGATTTTTCTGCATTATGTTGACGAAATTTCCTTTGACGTTCAGCATTTGATTTTGGTACTGTGTTTTGTTTTGTTTTTAGCGTGAGGTTTTTTTTCGTTACGGAATTTCTGGATTCGGTCCCCGCGCTCAAGGCCCTCGATAGAAGCTATGCAATAGCTTAAAAACATATTTATGTCATACATACAAAATGACCTATAACCAGTATAAAGTATCAGTTGATCCAGGCCAATTCTTGTAATAAAAGTTTGGTCAAAATTCAGTTCCGCTCAACTCTCGCTCTTAGAACTGCAACAGAACTGTCATAAAAGTATTTTCATAGTAAAGTAAAACATCCAACGTGTAATGTGATGTGTGATAGTAATGTGATCGAAAACTGAATCGGTAATCTGCTTATCTTAGTAATACTTTACTATTTTACTATTGCCATACAATGTTCTTACGGTTCTGGTTTCGATCAACCTCCTACTTCCGAGTTGATCGGCACTGACTTTCGACCAAATTTTTATAACATGAATTGGCATTCTAGAAGGTGTATAGTGCTTTTTTACGTTCAAGATAAAAATGGGTAGTTTTTGTTCAGTGATTCACTGTTAGCTTTATCTATAGATTTGCAATGGTGTTAATAGAATTACAGCGAAACAATAAATGAAAATATAGATTATGAATTTTGTCAAACTACTTTATTTCTTCTACTTTGTTTTTGCTAGTAGTTTATCACTTAATCACCTCTAGTTATTGAAATTTCTGTAACGGACCTACATATTCCGATTGTTTGGCGTATCGGTGTATATATAAAGGGTTAACTTGAGTTATTTATTCATACGTAGTCTCTTTCACTACATAGCTTGATCTAGTACTGTGAAGTATAAAGTCTATCAATATGAAGTTCTTGGCAGTAGCGTTCGCCATCATTATTGTCGTTCAGCTCACTGATGTTGCAGCTGATAAATTGTCCTTCAATGACCTGATACAAACGTACGAAGAACAACAAAATATTGGTAAATGTTAACTATACATATTCCTGTCGTCGTGTGTATTCCCCAATAAAGGTCCATTTGATTATTATTAATAAAAAATTGAAACTCCACGCATAAAAGGTAACTAAAACCTAAAACATACAGAACTCCAATTGCTATCCAGTCAGAATGATATGGTAGGGTAGAAATCATGTACCCATAAATCGTTCGTTCTTGTTATCTTACTAAAAATTACTTGAAACTCATAAAACATTATTTCAGAAAACAATCAACAAATGGCTACTGAAGATATGGCGTCACTTTTGAGGAGAAAAAAGTGTAACTCGTGGTGTCTCTCGTATTGCAGAAGATCTTGAAGTGTTTGTCGACTTTTCGAATTTCGCTTCCTATTTTTTTTAAATGTGTGTAATGTTATAGTCCTTAAGAATATAGTTAATATTTAGACATTTTGAATAAGTTTTGAACAATTGTAATAAAATATATTTGAGTTTGAAAGACATAAGCGATAATTCACATAAGAAAATTTAAAGAAACGAGTTTTCAAGATAACGGTGTATGACCTGTATAGACGCTTGTCCTTTGCGTGGTTGTTTTGGTTGTGTAAAATAAATAACATTTATATAAAATTTGTTTCGTTTTATTAGGTCGACTAAATAGTTTGAATCTCTCGAAATCTCTCGAAAAGCATAATTTCAATAATTTTTTGGTCCTAGTTGCCACATGAACACCTTTGGTAATCGTAACGGGTCGTTGAAGTCCTGAAAAACGCCGACAACAGTCTTTCCACAGAACTTTGATATTGCGTAGTACTTGGGATATTTTATCATCGCCCGCAGCCTTGTTTAGTGGCAAGGATCTAACGATACTGAGAAATTCGTCTGAAGATGGTAAGTCAGACATTGGAGACAGTGGTGGTTCGATGGCCCACTACCTGATCTGTCGGTGATGATCAGTGTCATTTTTGTTGTCAGGCACGAGCGATTCTGAAAGATAGTCTGCTGTTTGTTCTACTCCAGTGGCATATCTGTTATTAATTTTGATGTTCTGTATGTATGCAAGGTCTATTTGCCTTAAATTCGTGATACGAAGGTGACCACGGGCCCTCTCTATCGAGATTATCAACAAGTTTCTGAATTAAGTTTCCCTTGGATTTTTCCCACAGCAGCTCTGTAGAGGGATATGGCAACTCTAAGAGCAATGAGATATACGATATACGTTATGCTTTTTAATAGCGTTTAATTTCCTAAGATCTTTCCGGTAGCTTCTACGTAATTCGGCTAATTTATCTTTCCACCAATCACATCTACGAGTGTTAGTGATAGATCCACGACTTATAGACATGTGAAAGTTTCTGATAGTATTTCAGCGCTTTCCTCAGCTGATAAACTACTGCGACTGAAGTCTTTTGCATGAGTTGCAAAGAGTGAACCATACAAAGCCCAGTTCGCACTTTTAGTTTTATATCTAAAATTATAGAGCGCTCTTTGCGGATCCTGTGCAACCGTTGGTATGAATTCATACATAATCGAGCGGTGATTACAGGATGCGTCCGGGAGGACACGCCATCCGGATATCGAGACGTCACCGCGCTTAAGAAGAAGACTTAACCATTGGGTTGCAAAACGTTGTTGGTGCATCGGGAGTATTGTGAATAGTAAGATTCATTTACGCAATGAAATCTTCAACTGCTCAACGTCAAACAGTATCGGTTGAACGCAACTTGTCATACCATAATGTAGATGACGCATTGATATCAGCGCCAATGATAATTTTATGTACCACAAATGACTGCAAGACGTAACGTACGTGATGTAAGTGAGGATCAATAGGATGTGAGTATTCAAAATAGCAGCTCACTACGTAAAACCGTACAGTACCGTACAGGTAGAGGATGTGATAAGAAGTAATCATGTTTTGTTTTAATACAGGGGAGTTCCTTAGGACAACGGTTTTCATATCTAAATTTCTTATCTCCTTGGTTGTGTAACATGTACCTAGACTAAGATACTACGACTTAGTCTTAAAGCTCGCTCGATATAGTGGTATCGTAAAATAAGACGGAAACTTATATTTTACTTTATATCGCTTAAACACAAACATAATTATGATTAACTTAAGGGTTTTGCTGAAGTAAATAAAATTTTAAATAATACTTTTTATATTTTTTAGTAAATAAAATCGATCTAAGTGGCGTGCAATGGGAGAGGCCTATGTCCAGCAGTGGACTGCGATAGGCTGATGATGATGATGAATAAAATTTTAAGTCATGCATGACATTTCCAAAACAAATATTTCGGTCTAACTTTGAAACAAATTTGAGGAGATAAGTTCTCTTCTGATACTGATATAAGAATCGAATCATGATGGATGTATCTATCTAAAAAACATAGAACATTTTTATGGAAGACGGGGCAAACGAGCAGATGGTATCGTTCTTCGTAACTTCGTACCTTGTGGGCATTGAGTGCGATGAACGCGTGTAATGTTTCGTTTCAAGAACTTCCCTTAAATTTGTACCGATTTTGATCAGATTTTGAAATAAAGTATACTCAATTGCAATGACTATGGGTTACTCTTGAGGCATTTGCAGGCCTATAGTAATATTACTAGCACTTTGTTTCACCACTCGCTCGTACTCCAGGATTACTCTTTCTTTCTGCTTTGAGACATCCTCTACAAAGATACCCTCTACAAAAGTTTCAAGTGATCCACAAATTGTCGTTCTCAGTCAGGGTGTTTTTTGTGTACGTTTCATGTATGTTTGTAAAGTCCCCGCGACACAGGATATATTCCTAGTGAGGGGTTGACTTTTACAAAAATATAAATAAAATAAAAAATCGAGGGATTTTTAGAACGAATGCTTAAAGTTGGTCAATTGGAAAAAAGAGATGAGTCATTTTCTCCGCTTACAAAACCCCAGGCGCGGGAGTCAAACACATGTTTGTTCAATTTTTTTTGTACATATGTATAGGGCAACTTTGAAAGTCAAGTCAAGAAAAGATATTGTCTAGTTCAGGAGTTGTACTCATATTATCTGGTTTACATTATAAAATAAGAAATGCGTTTCATTTACATTATTTTATTTAATACGCGAAGTACTTGTTGTTTCTATACATGTAAAATTACTTACACTGACTGACTGACTGATTAATCAACGGAGAGCCTAATCAGACTTGAAATTTTGTCAGCATATGCTTTTTATGTTGTAAGCAACCACTTAGAAATCATTTTTGGAAATTTCATTCCTAAGGAATGAAGGAATGTATGGAAATTCGTCATCTTTAGAGTTAGATGCACGAAATAAGAAACATCACTTGAGCGAAGCCACAGGCTAAATATACATAGCTACGAGTAGTATTGTATAAAAACCATGAATAAACTACTTTGTACATCGGCAAATTGTAGCAGAAATGCATCTACCAATTATAAAGCCAAGTCATCTGTAGCGTTTTTAGAATATTTTATCAATGTATATATACACCCAGCCGTCTGATTTTAAACAAGGCAGAGCCTGTGCTATGGTAACCAGTTTGCTGATAAACATACAGATATATTTCTAAACATATACATAAAATAGATAAACTAGACCCAGGCATAGAACAAATCATCGAGCTCATCATCAGCCTATCGCAGTCCGCTGTTGGATAAAGGCCTCTCCTATTGCACGCCTCTTAGATCGATTTTAGGCTTCCCGCATCCAGCTCCTGCCAGCCATCTTCGGAAATCGTAACTCCACCTTGCCTGTCTTACATTACGTTTGCCGACGCGGTCTCCACTCAAGAACTTGTTTTAACCAACGGTTTTCGGTTCTGCCGCTAATACGGCCAGCGCACTGCCACTTGTGCTTGCTAATCCCGTAGACTTTGTTTCTCTGTCGGATCAACTCATTCCTGATGTGATCCCTTAGAGAAACGCCGAGCATAGCCCTTTCTATAACACGTTGAGCGACTTTGAGCTTGTGAACCAGCCGTACCGTAAGTGTCCATCGCGCTCATCACACAATTATTTGTCCTGGGTGGGAATCGAACCCACAACCTCTGGCTTACCAGTCAGGGTCAATAACCACTAGACCAACGGGCCCGTCAAATATTGTATCTCTAAAAATTAATAAGCCTGCATATTTACATAGGATCTGGTATTTTTAGGATTATTTTTGTATTTCAAGTAAAACACGATATTTTTACAAAGATCGTAACTTTGAAAGACAAGTCAGGAACAGGTATTGTTAAATAAGAACTGCTTTTCTAGATTATTTTATTTTATTTCTAATCCTTCATAAAAATACACACAAAACTAAAATTATTTGTAGATAGAATGACTTTGAATGAATAAACTATCTCGTACAGCGACAAACATTAGGAGCAACGCATCTACCAACTGTGAAGCCAAGTCTTCTGCAGAGGTTGTTACACGCCACATTGTTGCAAGCTCTCAGAGTTGTTCGAATATCTTCAGTTACTATATTGTTATTTCCTGTGAAATAAAAAACAATATAATTTAAATAATTTATTAATACCTGCTTTACATTGCAGAACTAGGTTTTTTTCGACATATACAAGTGTGGGTAACACGGGTTCTAAATGTTAATATGTACCACAAAAGTACAGATTTGACTTACCTATGTATTGAAAGTCTTGATACTCCTCTATCACGTCATTGGAGTTAGGGTCGACAACACCAGTATCTGCTAGCTGAGCGACAAGAACTGTGGCGAAAATAACTACCAAAACCTTCATATTGCGTTTATTTGAAAGTACAAGTTAAGAACTAAAACTGTTTATCTGTAATGCAGGATTAACTGTAACGGGCTCGATATTTATACCCCCAACGGAGGCTTTGTTATCGCCCATTATCTGATTAGTAAATTGTAAGGATATTAAGGTCAGATAACAAATGTTTATTGCAATCAACGAGGCGTAATTTTTACATTGTGACTGAATTTCACTTCAGTCGATATGCGAAATCTATGTGTGTATTTAAACTATGATATGGTATTTTTCCGTCCGTGTGATGGATTAAGAATACGGAATGTTACCACCCCTATTCATCTCGTGGTTGTCGTACGGGCCGTCTAAGGGAACAAACTGCACAGGACAACAGCACTGCAAAAAGAAGGAAAACTTGAAACAAACCCTTTTTTTTGTACGTGTGGAAATCCTGGGGTTTGCGGTAGGGTGGTGTGTCGGAATCGGACTGACTAAAACCACACGGTGTGCCACTCTGCGCCTGTAATAGGAGGGATCCGGAAACTGCTGTCATTAAGCCCGTTCGACGGAGCCCGCCAGCGTCGCCCAGAACTTTGGCCGACGCTACGGGACAGGTGACCCACACAGCGCTAAGTCCTCCTAGACTGCGGCGGACGGTGCCGATCCTGACGTTGTCCGCGTTGCACCCGTCTTCTAACAAACCGCCAAGCGGACGGCCTCAGCCGTTACCTAGTCGAGGGTCATGGGCGAGATAAGTACTCGTAGTATAAATAAGTAGAGAATAAACGTAAAATTTCTCTATGTATATTATTTAATTTTGAACCCTTCAAAACTATCCAGACTGTATAGCAGTAGGGATTGTGTTTTAGTTTTAAGTTTGCTTTTATACATGTCTTTTAAATTTTTACTTTATTAGTAATTAAATTAAACAGTTTTATTAGGGAATGTAAACCACGATGGGAATATGTACGATTAATACTTACTAATATTATTTTGCTTTTTTTACGCTTCTATCGAGTTCGCGAAGTATAATACGAGTATGTCAGCGATTCTGTTTGTGCAAAACGAGAGACACTATGTGTTGCAGTTTCTTCTTCTCAGAAGAGAATTCATATCTTCAGTTGCAATTTTACTTGATTATTTTCTGGAACAAAGATTTAATAGTTTCAAATGATTTAACAATAAGTAAGTAGAGAACAGAAGTTTATTATTCAATAACCCTTCAATACCGTCCAGACTTAGCAATAAGAAGAGTTCTTTATAGAATTGAATTTAGCCTTGCAAGCATGCATAAAACATGCATTTTTAATTTTTACTACTTAAATCAAACCTAAACACATTTTTTGGGGCATACAAACGGCGCGGCGTTAGGAATATGGACAGTTGGTACTTATCAAGATTTTCTTGTTCCCCGTACGTTTCTATCAGGTCATTAAAGGGCAATTTGTCAGCAGTAACGCCAGCGAGCTGAACGACAAGAGTGATGGCGAACACTACTGCCAAGAAGCACCTCGCTTGAGTAGACGGGTCACCTTTAAGTAGCCAACGCCCCCTATACCACAAAAAAACAGCTTAGTGCGTGTCGAGCCGCGCCCAATGTGGGGTGCCGTAGTTGTTTCGTATTACAAACATTTCACATTAAGGGTTTCGGCCGCCTATAACGTCGAATTAGTTAGTCGACTATTACACATAAACTTATAAAGCCTACTGAGCTGTGATATGATATTTCCTTTTAAATTCATTATATATGCTACTACTACCGTGATTTTTTCAGATCTCTACTCTCTCTTTTGGCTAGGAGGGGGGAGACACTTGACTGTAACAAAATCAGCGCTTTAAGGCTTAAACCTCACAAAGGGACACCGTAATCAACCCGTCGAATTTGCTCTTTTAAATGCCGCATAACGCTCAAATAATATTCTTTATTTACCGTTTGACCTTTCGGCAAGAATTTCGAGTGCATAACACCGCGATAGTCAAAGGAAACAGTCAACATGACTTTGACTTTTGATCTACTTTTGCGTGGTTTTTTCGGTTTCGGTTCAGTTGGAAGGCGCCGCTCCGAAGCTTGTTGACTAGTTTGCATGTCAAACTCGTGAACCCGTAGGTTTATGAGTTTAACATGCAAACTGACATGCAAACAACCCAACATTCATGAAATGCATTTTTACTAGTGACGAGACGTGTCTTGTGACCAGTAAAAATGCATTTCAAGAATGACTCGTTTTAGCATGTCCTCAGCGACTCTCATGCGATTGAGTTTTTGGAGAAAATTCAGGTCTTTTGGGACTAGCCGAGCGGTAACATGTTTTATACCCATTTACATACCCAATTAGTTAAAATGGTACGGATCGACTCGTGAGATACAGAAAGTTCGGCGGCTATCTCTCTCAAAGTAAAATGAGGATTTTCAGTCACTATTTCCTTCACTTTTGCGATGTTAACTTCAGTTGCAGATGTCGATGGCACACACACATCTCAACCGCTTTTGAACTCTTTGTACCACTTATAAGCACGTGTTTTTGATAAAATCGATTCACCGTAAGCCTTCTGTAACATTTTCAGTGACTCCGAACACAAAATTCCGTTGGCGATGCAAAATTTTTTTTGTCCATTATGAAATTCGCAATACACACTAGATATGATATTACTAAATACAGCATTGTATTTAATATACGTAACAGATGCAACTCAAACTCCGTGCCAAAATGGAAAACAGTTGTGCCAATCTAACAACAACAAAAAAAAAAACAACTATTTGAATTTGGAACCATAAACAAATCATCCATTCCCGATACTTTTTTGACTGAATGTACATAAGCGATATTAAGTACAGTATAAATTTGGGTCTTATTTCACGTCTTAAGCCGCTTAAACTTCTATATTTTAACTTTCGATACAGTGGTTTAGGTACATGTCATACAAACAAATTAGATACTAGATTCAGATATGATAACGGGTATCCTAAGGAACTCCCCTGATTCCAAATAAACATGTTTACGTTTTATCTATTTTAATAGATAAAAAGATTATAATTGTTTTGTTACAATGCGTCTGCTAATGATAAAGTATTGGCGATAGTAACTTATTGACTAAGGGATCTAACTACGCAGGACAAGAGCACTGCAAAGAGAAGGAAAACTTGACTCTCACCCTATACCAACCCGTCTGGCCAGCGTGGTATAGTAGGCCGAAACCTCCTTTCTATTGAGAGGCCTATGTCCAGCAGAGAACTATTAAAGGATGTTCATGTAATCATTTGATGTTGTGAACTTATTGAAAACCCGCTTGGACGATATTATCCACAATCACAATGTTAAGCTGTTACAGCAAAAAAAAGAACATAGTTTTCAAGATATGAATGGTAGCAGTCAGCTTGAAAAAATGAATAACTTTCCTGTTTTCTTACTATGTCCTCTACATCTATGAATTGAGTTGATGAAAACGGTACATCGTTTTGTGGATAGTTTTGTTAAGATAGTAAACTCAGTATCGATTGCGACTTGTTTATTATAAAAAGGAAATAATACATGGCAAAAACTTACATGGTACCATTTTCGCGACACATAGACAAGAAGGAAGTGAACATAGAGTATACAATATAGAACTACAGAGTAATCTACCACAGATTAGTTATTGTGTTTCTCAACACGCCTCCTCAAATTAAACATTTTACAAAAAAAAAAAAATTTGCATCAAACACATTAGTAACTTAAACAAAATATCTCCTTTATCTAACACATGAATTTGTCTCTAAATTTCACAAACTTTTCCTTACATAAACTCTTAGTCATTATATCAGAAATATTCTCATTTGAATTTATATATTCAATTCTTATAATGTTCCTTTCAACAATATCTTTAAGAAAATGTGTTCTAATGTCTATATGTTTAGTCCTCTTTGAATTCTCGTAACTTTTCGACATTGATATGGCTCCCATATTATCTACAAATAACACAGCGTCTATCTTATAATTTAAATGTTCACTAAGTCCCTTCAGATTTATTAGTTCTTGAGCTGTAGTTGCGGCTGCAACGTACTCTGATTCAGCGGTTGACAATGCAATGCAGGATTGCTTCTTTGAGAACCATGCTATGGGATTTGTTCCATGCAAAATTATGCCACCACTTACACTTTTTCTATCATTTCTGTCACCTGCCCAATCCGCATCAGAATATCCATACAAAGTTTGATCAATAGTCCTTTTAAATATAAGCCCTTTGTCTTTTGTTTCCTTTAGGTATCGAATCACTCTCTTACTTGCTTTCCACAGTTGTTCATTTGGTTTATCCAGGAATCTACTAAGGTAAGATACAGCAAAAGTCAAATCTGGTCTTGATGTCATAGTTAAGTGAAGTAAACTTCCAATCAGTTCACGGTAAGGCACATTAAGTATTTCTTCATTTTCATTAATTTGTATATTATAATTTATTTCCATTGGTGTTTTCGTTCCTTTACACTCAGCCATATTATATCTATTCAATATCTTTTCTATCATGTTGCTTTGTTTTATAATAACATTATCTTCATTTCTTTCTATTTCCATTCCTAAAAAACCTTTTATTTCTCCCAGGTTCTTTGTATTAAACTTGTTTTTTAAAGCTGTTATTATATCTTTTCCATTTCCCATAATTAATATGTCGTCGACATATATTAATATCCAGCAATCAATTTTGTAATCCATACAGTAATCATATTCTGAACGTTGAAATCCATTTTCTTTTACAAATTTATTTATAGTTTCATTCCAGCACTTTGGGGATTCAGTCAACCCATATAGTGCTCTCTTTAATTTTAATACTGTATTAGAATCTCTTTGTTTTACTCCTTGGGGTGGTTTAATGTACACCTCAGACTTTAGTTTTCCATTCAAAAAGGCTGTGGGTATATCAAGCTGTGTTAATTTTAAATCTTCTTGTATTGCTTTAGATAAAAGCATTCTCACTGTAGAATATCTTGCAACAGGTGCATAGTTGTTGTCAAAAATATCTTTCTGTTGGAAACCTCTCACTACTAATCTTGCCTTCTT